AAGTATTTAATTATTAAATTCTGTGTTAATATTAGGAGCTAAAATTTAACACAGAAACCAAAATGAAAAAAATTATAACTGACCTAAAATTTATATCTTTCAGGTGTGGAGTTTAATTTCACAAACAATGCATGAAAATAATTACCTTGTCACAGGTAATCAATGTGACGAAAAATGGAGAAATTTCAAGAAAACTTATAGGAAAATTAAAGATGGGAACAAACAAACTGGCCGAGGAAGAAGCCAGTGGGAATTTTTTTCCATAATGGATGAGATTCTCGGACAGCGGCCAGATATTGAACCACCTGCTATTTTTGAGAGTTCCTCTTCAACTTTACAGGTTTTGAGTAAGTGATTTGTCTGCATTATACAAGTGATTTGTCTGAATGTCGTATTACAATATATAATTATTTTTATGTAGACATGGTGGAAAGCAATTCAGAAGATTCAGGAAACATCGGGATTGAGTCATGAACATCAACTGTCTCTTCTCTTCCCAAATTCCCACAAAAGCGTAAGCGGAAGCCAGAATGGTTTGACGAATACAAAGAACTAAAGGAAAAATCTAGGGAAGAAAGAAGACAGCAACATGCTGAACTAGTAGAATTAAGGAGGAAACAGCATGAGGATAATATGGAATTCCGCAAAGAGGTGTTAGGGGTTTTAAAGAGTTTGGTTGGAAAATAAAAATTATATTAAATGTTAACAAAATCTCTTTGCACTATGCTTTAAGCACAAAAAATTTTTCACCAATTAGATGAGACTCATTTGAAAGAACAGTGGCAATGTATGTATTATTCAAGGCAGCCAACAACAACATTGTTTTATAATTTTTTATTTCAGATTATTAAAAAGTAATTAACAGTAACAAATCAGAATAATCAAATACCAAAATAACAATATACATCAATAATAACAATAAACATCAATACTGTATGTTGTAAACAGATTTTTACATTTGCATTAATGTGTCTTTTATTCTGTGCTCGAGCACATGTACTACTTGAATCTGGTATGGATTCACTAGGGTTGTCATTTTCAATTACATTTTCATCCTGTAAATCTCCATAAGAATTTGCTTTCTTGGTTCTAATGTCTGACGACCACGACTGCACTTGTTTATGAGTTTTTCTGAAATCTAAAACGATTTATTTTCATTATAGAATATTGTATTAGTTAATAGAACTGAAATAAAATAGTTTATTTTACCTTCCTATTTAAAAACATTAATAATTATTAATGTATTTAAATAGGAAGGTAAAATAAAGGTCAAGCGATAAAACAGAGAAATTAATTCATGCCTATTCTGATACCTTGAATTTTACCAAAATTAATATATTTGATAAACTTACCATGTTTTCAATGACATCAAAAGTTTCAGGACTCATTCTAAAATGGCTTTTGAACATGCCTGGGGAAAATCGCGAAACGATTTCCTCCACGTACCCTTCCACCTTCGGAGTTTTCTCTGATAGACGTTCAACTTCAAGTTAATTTTCATCATCTGATGAACTAGAACTTGCCAAATCTTCATCTTCATATGCCTCCGAATCAATATCCGAGAGTATTGTTTCACCACAAAATGACCAGTCCGTTTAGAAATGCGACACTCTCCTGGAATAACCGGATATGACTGATGACGTCAGTCACCACTACCGCTGTATTACCGGTTATAATTTCCAAACACGCCCTAAGTGTGTTATGAACTGAATAAAGTACACTGAGAAAATGAAAAATGACTTTTTTGTTTTTTTTTTTTTAATGTTATCATTTCTAGTCAAATTGTAAAGCCAAGCCTAAGGTATTAAATTATAAATGTATTGTATATGTGTATATTCTGTTTTTGTATTTATTTTGTAACATTATAAATCCTTAACCATTTATTATATTTTTGCATTATTTGTCAATTTACTATTTTTGGGACAGGCTTTTACCATAATGCTTGTATATATATGGAGTCGAAGAAACCCATATGTTAGGATGAATTTTTTTGGCTTGCTAAATTTTCAAGCACCCTATTTACCATGGGTTCTTTTAGCATTTTCTGTACTGTTGGGAAATGCAGTAATGGTGGATTTAATGGGTAAGGTATATTAGATTAAAAATTATAGTAAAATAGTACACACTCTCTCTCTCTAATTGCATTTTTGTGCAGCTCTGTGAGGTAGTTGTCACAATCGAAATTATATCCAGTTTCCCAGAACACTGAATAAATTGATGATAATCAATTTATTCAGTTTGAAAATAAAAGTTATAACTAAGTATGGAAATCAAAAGCTTGACAATCAAGTAAATAATTTAATGTAAATTCAACAAATGTTTTTGATCTTACACAAGATCTGCTTCAGATCAACAACATTCTAAATTGAAATGTACAGAACTAATTTTAAATTTGTTTAAAAAATATTGGAATAAAATTTATAGACAAAATATAAAATTGAATAAATAAAGATTCGATTAGCTATTAAGATGTATGAAATTAAAACAGATACAAATATAAGGAATATTATTTTTTGATATATTTATATATAGAGTAAACCCCCATAAAACTGGTTCATATAGTTCGGATTCCTGTATGACTGCGAAAAAATTGCTAAAAACATGCTTAAAAAAACTCATTAAAATGCAATTTCGTATGAGAAAGGGTCGGACAAGTTTGCTGGAACAAATAATAGTAAATAGCTTGGTTTGTAATAGATGCCCGTTTCTCAAAGTCCACACCAAATTAGATATAATACTAGATGGTGGTAACATCATCTAGTATTAAGAAGTTCCTGAATAACATCCTATTCAATACACTATTTTATAGCATTCATATCCTTTTTGTATATTATGGTTTATGGTAGCATTATTTCTATATATATATTTTATTTTTGTTTTCTATTACATTTAACCAAAATAGTTTAAAAAAAAAAAAAGTTAAAATACACACCAGTTTACTAAAATGTCTTGTTTACAGTTTTCACAAAATTATTTCTATTTTAAATATGATAATAGAAAACAAATAAAAGGACAGAAATAATTCCTACTGTAAGCCACGATGTACAAAAAGAATTTGAATGTTTTAAAATATTTTATAATACTATATTGAATAGGATGTTAAATAGGAACTTCTTAAGAAATTGGACTGAAAAGGGGCAAAAAATTGCCTGAAATGCATATCCCTAAAATAAAAAAGTACCTCTTGTTGAGTGTAGCTTCTAGAAAAAACTACTTCCTAAGTTTTATTGAATAAATAAAGATTAGAAATTTCCCTAACTTTTTTAATATGGAAGTAAAAACTGATTTTACTAGAAAAAAAATATGCCAAAGAAGTTATCCATTCACTCACACTCAGGTGCACTTTCTTATACTCATCCATATTTCAAAAAGCATGTATGTAATTATGTATATATATGTATATCAAAAATATAGCTTATATATTTCATATTTCAAAGGTTTATTTCTTATTTAAAAATATCACAATTATTATCCAAATGTACATTCAATAAATTTTATTTGTAAAATATTTTAAATTTATTCTTAAGTATATTTTAATATCCTTTTTATAAATTATTCATTTGAAATTAATTCATGCCTATTCTGATACCTTGAATTTTACCAAAATTAATATATTTGATAAACTTACCATGTTTTCAATGACATCAAAAGTTTCAGGACTCATTCTAAAATGGCTTTTGAACATGCCTGGGGAAAATCGCGAAACGATTTCCTCCACGTACCCTTCCACCTTCGGAGTTTTCTCTGATAGACGTTCAACTTCAAGTTAATTTTCATCATCTGATGAACTAGAACTTGCCAAATCTTCATCTTCATATGCCTCCGAATCAATATCCGAGAGTATTGTTTCACCACAAAATGACCAGTCCGTTTAGAAATGCGACACTCTCCTGGAATAACCGGATATGACTGATGACGTCAGTCACCACTACCGCTGTATTACCGGTTATAATTTCCAAACACGCCCTAAGTGTGTTATGAACTGAATAAAGTACACTGAGAAAATGAAAAATGACTTTTTTGTTTTTTTTTTTTTAATGTTATCATTTCTAGTCAAATTGTAAAGCCAAGCCTAAGGTATTAAATTATAAATGTATTGTATATGTGTATATTCTGTTTTTGTATTTATTTTGTAACATTATAAATCCTTAACCATTTATTATATTTTTGCATTATTTGTCAATTTACTATTTTTGGGACAGGCTTTTACCATAATGCTTGTATATATATGGAGTCGAAGAAACCCATATGTTAGGATGAATTTTTTTGGCTTGCTAAATTTTCAAGCACCCTATTTACCATGGGTTCTTTTAGCATTTTCTGTACTGTTGGGAAATGCAGTAATGGTGGATTTAATGGGTAAGGTATATTAGATTAAAAATTATAGTAAAATAGTACACACTCTCTCTCTCTAATTGCATTTTTGTGCAGCTCTGTGAGGTAGTTGTCACAATCGAAATTATATCCAGTTTCCCAGAACACTGAATAAATTGATGATAATCAATTTATTCAGTTTGAAAATAAAAGTTATAACTAAGTATGGAAATCAAAAGCTTGACAATCAAGTAAATAATTTAATGTAAATTCAACAAATGTTTTTGATCTTACACAAGATCTGCTTCAGATCAACAACATTCTAAATTGAAATGTACAGAACTAATTTTAAATTTGTTTAAAAAATATTGGAATAAAATTTATAGACAAAATATAAAATTGAATAAATAAAGATTCGATTAGCTATTAAGATGTATGAAATTAAAACAGATACAAATATAAGGAATATTATTTTTTGATATATTTATATATAGAGTAAACCCCCATAAAACTGGTTCATATAGTTCGGATTCCTGTATGACTGCGAAAAAATTGCTAAAAACATGCTTAAAAAAACTCATTAAAATGCAATTTCGTATGAGAAAGGGTCGGACAAGTTTGCTGGAACAAATAATAGTAAATAGCTTGGTTTGTAATAGATGCCCGTTTCTCAAAGTCCACACCAAATTAGATATAATACTAGATGGTGGTAACATCATCTAGTATTAAGAAGTTCCTGAATAACATCCTATTCAATACACTATTTTATAGCATTCATATCCTTTTTGTATATTATGGTTTATGGTAGCATTATTTCTATATATATATTTTATTTTTGTTTTCTATTACCCCCAAATGGATGC